AAATTTTGGTGCAGTCGATTTTTGGGAAAAAAGGAAGGTTTATACACTGCCTTTTTTTGCCCAGAAAAAAAATTGTCTCAGATCGACCGGAAAAAAAATATTTTCTTATAGAATGTGGCCTGTAGAATCCATAATTTCAAACAGTTCCAAGATCGGACTACTAGATCAAAAGTTACAGCCCTTTGAATTTTTTGTCGAAATTGGTTTTTTGCCCATAAATATACCTATTATTCAAAGTTTTCGTTGACTAATTAAATCAAAAGCAATAAAGGGGCCTGTCAGCAATAAGAAATAAAATACCGTTCTAATCTAATCTTTTTCGTATGTACAATAATAAATAGATAAATGATTACCAGCATCAGCAACCTGCAACCCAATTTCTATTTCTTACCCCCCTCCCCCTCGTCCTTCTAGTACGCACTGGGTGACTGTATGTGCCACGAACTTGTTAATCCCCCCCAGAATAAATTTCTACGTACGCCACTGCACCCCCCGGTGGTATTCCTAATTTGAGACAGTTACATTTTTTTAAAATAAATATTACAGAAAAATCGTTTAAAGTGTTGTTTATAAACAGCCATGTCCCAAACGCATTCGTACTTTTCGCGGGGGGGTGGGTGGGGGGGGGGATTCCAGCCCCCGGTGGTATTCCTAATTTGAGACACTTCCATTTTTTATAAATAGTAAAGCAAAATCTGGTCAAGTGTCAACAGTAATCTCCCAAGCGCATTACCTTTAACTAGGGGGGGGGTTAGATCTAGTGGTGGGGATCCCTCGGCCTCCAATTCTCGATAGAATATTTATCACAATGAGCTTTGTTGAACATTACCCCAAAAACCATTGAAAAGGGCGGGGGCGGGGGCATGTAAAAAGCGTTCTGTTTGGAAAGTTATTTTTATTATGGTATCAGGACCACAGAACAGGTTTTCTTACAAATTCCTCTTAAAAGTGGTTATGCTAGGATCGCGAAAATGCGCAAAAGTAACAGTTACTCTGCTACCTTGCTGTAAATTTGTATTTAAGTGTATTGTATCAGGTTCGCAGAACCATTAGGAGGTGTATATTTTATTTACACGAACTCTCTCTTGATAGAAATTCTGTTCAGGTTGCGAAGAAGTTCTAATTTGTGGCCTATGAGTTCGGGGGAGGTTTGAGAAAGGGGAAGTAACAAAGTGGTGGAGCCAAGCCAATCACAGATGAAATATCTCCTAAATTGCAAGTATCAAGCAGAATTTGTAAACACTAAGAGCTTGTTTAATCCCCCCCATACATTTCTACATACGCCACTGTCGCAGGAACAGACAAACGTATAAAATTGCTTGCTAAGCACCTCCTCACTGTTTATGTTTTCCCGATAGGGATTTATCTTTTGGATCAGGATAAGTGAAATGCACCTATTTTTCCCTCCTGATACAAGTTTTCCATTAGAAATGCAAGGGA